TGCAGCTGAGACTGTGATGTGGCCTTTATGTTCATCCACAGAGCAGATGTTCTCCTGGAGGTTCTTGGACGGCTCCACCAGCCTGTGTTTCTTTAAAGGAGCCACATCATAATGAGGCTGAAGGTGTTTCTCACAATAAGAATCCAGACAGATTAAACAGGACTTGATGGCTTTCAGTCGTCTTCCAGTGCAGAAATCACAGGCCACATCTTCAGGTCCAGCATAGCGGTGATCAGCAGGAGCAGCTTGGAGTCCAGTCTTCTTCAGCTCTTCTATTAAATCAACTAACATGATGTTTTTCTCCAGCACAGGCCTCGGTATGAAGGTTTTCCTGCACTGAGGGCAGCTGTAGAGCCATTTCTGATCCTCTTGATCCCAGTGTCTCTTAATGCATTTAAGACAGTAGCTGTGTCCACATGGAATCGTCACTGGATCCTTCAGTAGATCCAAACAGATCGAACAGGAGAAAGTTTCTTGGTCCAGCTGAACTGCTTGCTGCGCCATTTCTGCTCTCAGTCACAGTGACTGTATGAGTTCCACTTTCTGAAAACAGAAACATGATTGAGCTCTGATCTTCGAGTCAGGTTTCAGTGCAGAGGGGCTGCAGCCAATCAGCTTTCACCTTCAGCAGCTGTTGGCTGTCCCCCCACCACTACCCCTCTCCCCGCCTCATGGGGTCAGGGTACAAGGAAAACTGGGAATAAAGAGGATGTAGCAGCTCCCCAGCACTTGAATTAATTTGTGCGGTCTCGACGGGTGATTTTCAAGGTTTCTTTATTTTCTTTGATGTGGATCATCGGTCAACTCAATCATCTTGATCACCATAGTCATCATAGTCACCTTAGTCACCGTGAAAACTAAACAGATATACAAATATTAGAATATAAACATAAACTTACAACACAAACAACAAAATAAAATGTACCTTGCTGCTTTCACCGGGGAACACCAAGTGTTGATAGTGCCAAGCACTTTTGACAGTTCATTCAAGTCGTTCATTGGTACAATGATTCAGCCAGCTTATATAGGGCCTGCCCTCATTTAGCTACGGCAGCCCGTGAGGTACATAACACACACACACATAAAAACTTTACAAAGTGCGAATACAATTAAACAAAACAAAATACAAACCACCAGTGCTCATCAAAACAGACAAATATTATTAAACAATCTGCAACATCCTTTAAATAATTTATAATAAATAGTCTACAAATTTGAATAATTTAGGCAACTTAATTTAAATGATTCACTATCCCTTACAGAGGAGTTTCTAAGTTTAAAGCAGAAAGAACAGGGAGTTAATTTAGATATTTATTCCAGAAAGAGAACTGGTTTGAGTTTAAAACTTTTAGTGGGTAATGTAATTAAATTCAGCTCAGTAGAGCTTATTTATGTTTTAACACCAAGTCAGGTAAGAAATCTAATCTAAAAATTCAAAGTAATATTGCACAAAAAAACCAGAAGGTAAGTTGAACATTAGATTAGTTGGAAGAGTAAAACCATGAGAGCACCAGGAATGTAAGCCAAAAACAAAATATGTTAGAAACAGATTTAGCCTGATTCTCTTTTTTATTTAAACTAACTTCTCCTCAATGTTTAAATATGATGATAAACAATATTCCTATGTCTCTAAAAAGCTCCAGGATGTGTCTGAGTTAAAGCATCAAGATGGAACTTCAGATTTTCATTGTCTTTATGAATAATTTCATCCAAAATATTTTCAGTCCTAAAAGGCTGAAATATTCTGGTTCTGTCTGATGATGACTGAGGATCATTACGGATCATATAAAAGTCCTGAATGGAAAGTTTGTTTCCAGAAGACTGAAATTCCCCCTCTGAAACTCACAATGTTCATTTTTCTTAATGGTGGACATGACAATGATACTTTAAAGCTGATGAATGCTTTTACTATTTAATAATTAAATTAATTTGAATTGAAGCAGTTCAGGCTTCATGAGGAGTAGAAGCTGAACAGATTTGAAGTGAGGAGATCCTATAAGTCTGGATTCAGCTTTTTATATTTCAGTGATTCTTGAGAATAGGAACAAAACAGGTCCAGTGGATAAAGTACAAAATTTGAATAAAATATA